GCGGGAGCCGCGCCACGGAGCCCCGGTCGTTTCCGCTCTTTGTTATCGCTAGGATTTGACAGTGCTCAATCACAATGCAAGACACACACAGAGCAACGCTCGCTTTTGCAATACACCGCTAGCACGACGGCAGCACTTTCTGTAAAGGCGCAGTAACACCGGGGTTGCTTGAAGTCGCACGATGCGACTAAATCGCATCGCAAAAAAAAAAAAAAAAAAAAAAAAGTAATTAGATGGTCATTCTGGCGTGCGCGATGGGCGAGTCCAACGCCTTCGTTGGTGAGTCGCTTCTCAAAAACACTTGCTCCGAACGCAATTGATTGACTCAGCCTCTCCGCAACTAGATTGCAACGCAAAAAGTCGGCTCAGCAAGCGACTGCTCAAATCGCGTCGCTTTTTGCCCGCGATGGTCGCTTTTGCGATGAACGTTATCGCGCGACTAGATCGCATTGCCGGTGTAAACGCGCCTTAATGTAGAACCAGTCTCACGGCGCGTCCCGATATTTGTGTGTGAACCTACGCGCGAGTACAACATCCGGCACAATTTGCGTTTGCAAAGCCTGGTCCAGCCGCGTCAAAACATTCAGCCAACCTTTGTACTTGAGAAATCAAGAGACACCCAAAATAAGATAAATTGGCCAGCCGAATAAAACTTTATCTCTATTTAATTAAGATGGAGACCCCCCGCGTACATCAAATACCTCATCAGCCAAACTTCAAGGCAGTAAGCCTAGTTCTGGCACTTTTCTGGCAACTTTGGCCCGTAACTGCCAGATGACAGCCAAACTATCGGGAAGCTAAGCCTAACTTTGGCACTCGTTTGGCGACTTGGGCCCAAAGACGCCAGATGTCAACCGAACTACAAGGTAGTAAGCCTAACTCTGGCACATCTGTGGCGATTTTGGCCCGAAGGTGCCGAATGACAGCCGAACTATCAAAAAGTGAAGCCTAAGTTTGCCACTTGTTTGGCGAATTAGGGCCAAAATACCCAGGCTGTTGCCAAGGGAGGTCAGGTTTGGCTCTACTTTGGCTTCTTCGGGCCTTTCAATGCCCTAAACTTCCAGACAAAAGCCAAGTTTTGGCCCAGAACTTGGTGCTACCTGGGTTCATATCCTTATCTGTTCCTCCCCCTCCGTGATACTGTCAATAGCGGCAGCGCGGACTCCGACTGGTGATCCTGTCAAAAGAGACAGCGCCGTCATCTCCACCATTGTTGGCCTTCGGGCAAGCGTGTTGTCATTGCAGTCAATAAACACGTCTTTATCCGAACCCAAGAAACCTTTTGTGTTTCTAAGTGGTACCCCCATAAAAGGGGAAACCCACAAGAGATTTCGCCAAGCAGCAAGCAAGAAGTTTTGTATAATCCCTCCGGTCGAAATTCGGCGAGGACACGATCGTAATTACCGTTATGACCAATGTCAACGATGTTACAACGTTATTTTTTCCAGCTTCTCACTTCGGATTTCAAGTAATATAGAACTATAGTCTACCGTAGAAACACCTTGAAATACTGTTAGCGGTAGCAAGGAAGGTGCTTTGACAATTTGTGCTATCAACACGACATGCACTTCAACATAAACGAATCCGCTCGACAACACCCAACGATTCTATTAGAAATGAAGAGTAAAAAAACGCTCTAATAAAAAGGATCGTCGGCATTCCGAATATTGTACTGACACAATATTGCCTTTGTACTGACACGGTTTCCTTTGAAAACTCGGGAAACTCTTCGAAAAGTTGGCGATAGAACCGCAGAACTGCCGCCTACTCTCCGCAGAGCCCGCTGCGTCGTCTGCTACTTACCGTAAGGTGATCTGGGCTCAAAACAAAACTTCTTCGCTCGCTCACATCACAGCAAGTGCTGCAAATGCTTTTAGAGTGCTTACCTATGATATTAAAAATAGTTTTCACACGATGAAAGGCCCAGATATTACAAAACACCCACTTTCTTCTATACGCGATACGTCCACAATGCAAGAGTTGGAACCTTTTTGGCATTCGCCGTTAGTCGCCGAGTGGGGGAGCTACGGTTGGCGTTACTCTGCTCCCTACGGGAACATATACAGTGGCGCTAATTGGCTCCGGCGCCCAGCGACTGGTTTTTGCGACTTGAAAATTGGTCAGGGAGCGGCTGCCCAAAACCGGTCGCTAGCGACCTGTTTTGGTCGCTCGGCGACCAAAAACCAGTCGCTAGTTGCTGGTCGCTCCAGCGGCTGTCGCAAGTGTGAATTGGCCTTAACGCCCTAAAGACGAAGCCAACAAAACTCTTTTCGGCAAGGAGCGAGGCCAGCGAGACAAAGGGCGCATTGTGTGATGTTTACGGCTCTTGAACAACGGGCATACAGAGATTTGGATTTACCGCGAGCTTCTGCTCAAAATGGTGAGACCACATCGGTTCCTTTGCGATAGACGTGAATGCGATTTTAAGGAAAAGCTACAACAGAAAGAAAATACGGTCGCCGTTCATCGGGGACGAAATGTGGCGTAAGGAGTGATGTGAAACGTGCTCGCGGTGGGTCTTGTCGATTTTGTTTCGGAACGTGGAGACAAATAAAATATTTTCAAACATGTAACATCGTTATCGGCTACCGGAACGCAAGCTCTAAGGAACAAAACAATCGTGGTGGCGCCCATCGACTCCGATAGTCAGCTACATTTCGTGATCGACGCCGCCACAAAGTAGTCGTAAATAGGGGGTTGTAAGATTGGTAGTAGACTTGAGGAAGTGTGAAATTGCGCACGAAATTAATAGATCATGCCGGTTATCCGGTCATACGGGATATAAAAGTTCGACGTAGAATTTGAAAGATTCAGAAAGGGCTCCAGGCTAGGTGGCGCAAGATACCACCCAATATAAGGGGGCACCGCCGCCAGCATCCATCCATTTACATCGCCATTGCCGGCAGCTCCGTCGCCGCTGGTTCGAATAGTCCACCGTTCCCGCACCGTCCCGACCAGTGTTACGGAATGGGCACCCCCATTCCATTCCAATTCCATTCCGGGAATTAGTGTTTTCAGTAATTCAATATCTTTCAACTCCTAGGATTGGGGACACTGGTCCCATTCCCACTCCTCGAATGGCTGAATCGTTCCATTCCATTTCTCTAATTCCTAAACGTAAAAATTGGCACTAGACAACTACATTGTGCCATGTTTCCGGCATAAGCGGCATAAAGCTGACATTGTCAAACGCATATAGACAATTGCAAAAAAAATGCTAAATGCCTCAAAAAAGCACTGATCTTACTAAACTCACGGTGCTGGATTGCCTGGGGTGACTTGAAGAGTCCGTAGCGGTCCATCGCAAGGTGAAACAAAGCATGCAGAGACTAAAGTCAAAGGAAATGAGCGGGAATCCGGTGGCTTGTTTCTAACCCTAACCCACTTGAATGTAAAATATATAACACAGAAAACAAGCATCGGAACAAAGACCAAGTAAAAGGCGGGCTTATACGTAAAAATGCAGTATAAAAAACAAGCGTCGGAGCAAAGCGCAAGAGAAGAGAGAAGTGAATCTCGCTTTGTTTTAATGCCGAAGCAAACCCAGATTTCGCACTTCAAAGGAGTGCGCGCGAATGAACGCAGAGGGCAGCAGGGTTGGCCACCTGCTAAACAACGCTCCTTGAACTATAAGAAAACAATAACTGATCATCTTTCACCGGCGGCGTGCGAGTCAACGAGTTATCAGAGCTCTGTGAGTTATGAGTCGCACCCCGCTCCCAGATCTCAGTCTGTGCGCAAGCGTGCAATCTCCATGCCGTCGGATAAAAAAAAAAAAAAAAAAAAAAAAAAAAAAAAAAAAAAACACGACGAGGAGTTGTGCATGGCGGTTTCTTTCTTTGCCACTTCCTTCGTTTCCTTTTCTTGGTGCTTGGTTTCTTGCTTCGCTCTCTAACGCCAGTGAAGCCCGTCGTCTGCGCATCCGTGAGAGGCGCCACCGCCCATAGCTATGCACCGCCACTCCCTCCCCCCCCCCCCCCTCCCTTTCCCCTTTGGTATTTGTATGCGAGGTTAAAAGCGCCCCGGTGTGTCCCCAAGTTTGACAACACCATTATCTTGGCCCGAAACCGAAACAAAATGACAAGGGAGATATCCGAAGCTTTTTTCATATCTGAGTGCGTTGAAGGAACGTGTGTCAGCGCTCCATCTATAGCCCTGTTTGGCTCTGAGGTGGCGTTTTTGAAATCTTTTGTAAAGTAGATAGAGGACAGACGAACGCTCATGGGGTGATGTCGCATTTCTGAAGTACATGTCGCGGTTTCACGGTGTATATATATGTGTGTTTCCTAAGAATAAACTTCAGTTGCAAGTAGCGCTCTGTGTTGTACGTTTCTTTCACTTGTCCGTTGTTTTTAGCGCTTTTAACCTCACATACATGGATCACCAACTAGCCCAAGTGCATACGCTTCTTCCTTTGGTATTTGCTCGGACGCTTGTCTTTTGTATTGCTAGCAGTTTCCCGCGCATTATTTTTCTCAGCAACTGACTCGCTGACTGGCTCCGTTTAGCTAAACATAACCCCCCCCCCCCACACACACACACACACACAAATACACATACACACACAAAATAAATAAATAAATATATAAATAAATAAATAAAGTAAAAAGCTGGGCCCATTCCATTCCGGCCAAAATTCATCTAATTCCACTCCCATTCCATTCCCCTTAACGTTGCCGTAATTTCACTCCCATTCCATTCCGGCGTTGCGAAAATGCGGTGTGATTCCGGAATCATTCCAACTCCGGAGTGGCAACTCCGCAACACTGGTCCCGACTTCAGCACGGTGCCGATGGCGCTTTCGCCGGGACGGGGCGAGACGCGGGCTGTGTGAATGAGGCCTTAGATCAGCCTTTATCGCATAAAGCTCAGTATGGTTGCTAAATTTCACAACCTGAATTGTGCTAAAATATTATACATTTTTTTTTTATATAAAAGGTTCATTCAGATGAAGGGCACACGATATTTTTATTTTTATTTATCAAAACCACCAGTGAAAGTTACTTCTTCCAAAAAGATGGACACCAACTTTTCAAAACTCCAGTTTTTGTAGTCTGCAATTCCTGTCGCCAATTGCGGAGGCTTTCTTTCGTGCTTGAATCGCAGTTCTGTGCAGAATATAAAATAAAATTCAACATTTGTTTTGTATCAATCCGAACAAAATATATAAATGTTAGAATGCATTTTTCTTTTTGATAATGGACGTTGTTTTTTAATTGCACAAAAAAAAATACGCGAGAAAAGCACGAACACAAATTACGCGTTAAAATGTGCGTTCTGCATATGAGATTACATACATCAGATGAGATTTTGTTTCAGCCCCTTCGATAAAAAATGTCCTTTTAGATACTTGTCTCTTATATTATAGGGGCGGTGCTTATTTCTTGTACCTTCACAAAATGCAGGAGATAATTAATATTTGACGTGCATCACCTACAACACATTAATTAGTTTTTCTCTATACGTAATGCAAATCGCAGAAAAAAAATTCAATTACAGAGAAGCAAGCGGCGTTTATCCCTTCAACTCACAGAGAGAATGAACGGCCATGTGATCTCGTACCGATTATTTGTCAAAGGGACCACATTAGCAGTCCCTGCGACTACGACAACAATGCGATAACCGTTAATTCGCTATTTAGGTTTTTGCGAGGGTGAAGTTGAAAAAACAAAAGGCCAAAAGCGTCGTTGAAACTATACCCCCACAAAGACGCTTCTTGGTCAGCGGCATTTTGCATGTGAGTAGAGCATACTAGGGCAGCACATATGTCAGTAAGCATGTGTAAAGTGAAAAACGTTGCAATCAAATATCGCTCTTTCGAAGGTGCGCGCATTGGTCTAGTGTAAAAACTTAAGAAAATAATTGACATAGGAAGATAGAACACCGATAGTGCATCTTTTGAAAGTAGTGATCTCCTGGTTCTGTCTTTCTGTTTAAATAGTCTGATTATTCCTTTCCAATATCCTCGCACGGCCTCTTCAATGTTACTATCACTAGTGCTACTGACATTTATGTTGATACTACTACTAATATTTCTGATTTTAGTTTTCCTCCTTATTGTGACAAAATTACAATCATTTTAATACTAATATTATTACGTAATATATCTTTATTATGCTAAGGCCCACTGCAGTAAATCAACTGGCAGGACTTGAAACGGTTTGGACGAGAGAATCGCCTCATCAAGAGGCTGAAAGACAGACGGTATTACTTGTGGCCACAGCTACCTCATCTGTGCCCACTACAGTTCTTGACGATAAGATCAATTGGCTAATCTTTACATTGAGAGGCCTAGCGAAAGTTGTCGGATAGTGAGATTTAGGGGTATGTCGGTGTGACACTTCCTACCAGCTGATGACCCTTTAGTACTCGAAGTGGCCATGTGGATATTTTCACGAATTAAGAGTTAATAAAACAAAGATTAACTGGGCAGACTGAAACGTTTAATGGGGCGAACTTGGGCCCAAAAATAACAAGGGAACAGAGAAAAGCAGAGCGTCGCAGGCGCCGAAGTCGGCGTGACAGCAGAGTCGAACGCTGGGGCGAAAACTGACTGCGGCTCGCCACGCGGAGCCCCATGTACACGCGTGGGCTTCTGGAATAATCGGTGAAGAAGGTTCGGCGTGTAGAACCATTCTGACCTCGAACAAGCAACACGGTTCTCGAATTTACCAGAACATCACATTAGAAACAACAAAAATGCGAACCCGCGGCCAGGAATCGAACCCTGGCTTTCTGCGTGGAAGGCACGCGCGATAACCGTTAGGACACGAGCGCACTGCCTCCTTCGTCAGCTGCGCTCGCGGCAATATAGTTGTTATATAAGAGGTGTTTTCGTTGTCGTTACGTTAAGACAGCGAAGTTCACGTGTATTTACAAATTTAAAGGCATTTTTATACTATCTGAACGGGCCGTACACTGGACGTAAGCAAACATCCGATCATCTGCATGAAAAAAGACAACTGAGTAAACTGGATGGAATAAGGTGTGGTCTCGAAGGTATAAAAAGGGTCCCCGCATTACCTCTGCATAGAATATACCCTTTTTGAAAGTCCATCAAGCAACACTGGCGGTCGCCATTGCTTGAACACCGTGTTCGGCGTGGCCTGATTATCCACGCCGAACGCTGAAGCCGAGCTCATGTCCAATACATGCTCAGGGTATGTGGGCAAGCCAGACTTGGGCTTATCTTAGGTACTCTTCTCAAGATACTGTATTTGAAATATTTATGGCTGCAATTTTTGATATCTGATACATTGAGGCTTATATATTTCCGACTCTATCTTAATTACATTAATCACTATATTGTACTCAGTATATCAAATACATTTTGCAACTTTGGAACACATTTGTGGCCGGAACAATCTACGGAACTAGGGATAGTAAGACTATAGGGCAAAGCGGAACCGATTGCATAGTTTAAGCCAACTGACCAAACAAATAACCGGAAGCAAGGCACGAGCAAAATGCAGTCTCCAGACGCCAAAGAAAGCCCAAATTGGGAGCCCTAAGTACGCCCGCCTCTACGTATTCTCTTGTCCACTTTATTTGTGTTTTTCAAGTTGTCTATGAATGGCACGTCAGCTAGCATAGTGCAAGTGATGTCATCAGGATTTTACACTCAGACCCCCCGTTTTGTCTGAAGCTAGAGTGGTTCCGTCATTGGAGGACTGTAACGTCAGCGCTCGGTACGATCACCATGAACAATTTTTGGAAATCCCCGGTTCAGGAGGCTATGGTATAAAAATTCGCGAAGATGTTTTCATCCGAGCACAGGCACTTCCTCGGCCAGAAAAGCTAGATCCTGCTGGCTTTATTGAGCTGCGGTAGCATAGAGTGGTTTTTCCTAACGCTCCTTGTCTGCCCTAATGTTGCTTAACATTTGTTCCCAAGCTTGTTCACAAGCGTTTCTTTTGACTTCTTAGGAATGCGTGCATTGTTTCATCTTCAATCTATCAATCATTTTTTATTTGCGTTTGTACACTAACACAGGCACTGGAGGCATGAATAAAAAGCCGACAGATGTCGGCTTGACGAGGCTAACGCCCTCCTTTTTTAGCGAACGGCAAGCAATCGAAAGAAAAAGAAAAAAAAATGAGATACTTGAAAAAAAAATTCCTGGAGTAATAGTCAAAATACACGTTTAAAATTGGGCTATAGATTACAATGTCAAGCAAAAAAATACACTCTATATGATAAAATACAATTGTGTGACATAAATATTCATAGAAACATCAGTTTTACATAATGAGATGTTAAATGTTCGATGATAATGTTATTTTCCATTAAATGGTTTGGTAAAGAAGGAAGGCGATGTTTTAGCATTTGAGTTCCATAGGTGGTTCGACTGAATGGTATCCTCCATACTTCTTCGTGACGTACGTTATAAGGTCTAACATTTATTGTTAATTCCTCTATGTTACTAATGTCAGGCGTCTTTTGTTTAATACTTGCTATATATCGAATGAGTAACGTGTACTCATACAGTTCGTTTAAGGTTAGGACGTTCAATGATTTAAGCATTGGCTTCGTGTGGGCTGATTGTGGAACAGTGATTATAGCTCGGATTGCCTTCATTTGAAGGATCGTTAATTTGTCCAAGTTAGTTGTAGTTGGTGTGCCCCAGACCAAGTGACAATAATTCAAATCTTACATGAATAAAGAATTGTAAATGAGAAGCTTAATTTTGACTGGCAAACTTGAACGGAACTTGTTGAGAATGCCAACAACACTTGAAATGTTTTTTATTACACCTTGAATGTGGGTGTCCCCACATTCGGGACGACTTCAATGATAGAGGGGCCAAGTTTTAGGCGCAAGTCATAATTTACCAATTTAAAAATAATCGCTTTTGTTTTAGATGTATTAATTAGTAGTGCGTTTGCTTCACTCCATTTGTGTAAATATTCCAGTGAGTTGTTAGTGGTTTCTGTAAGTGTGTCGATATTGTTAGCTGAAAAAACTAGTGTCATCGGCATAAATGATGAAAGTCGTGCTTGGGCTAATCGTTACAATGTCGTTTATATAAATGTTAAACGGAAGTGGGCCTCATATACTTCCTTGAGGGACACCTGTTTTTTACGCTTGAAAGTCTGAAGAATAGTTGTTTATAAAAACAGATTGTTTACGAAATTCTAAATATGATGTTAACAGGTTTAGGATTAGTCCACGGAAACAATAAAACTGAAGTTTATTAATAAAGGTTTTATGATTTATGCGATCAAATTCTTTAGAGAAATCAACAAAGACACCAAGAGTTAAACGTTTTTGTTCGAATGATTTTAAGATGAATTTTCAGTTGATCAGATGATCTACCCTTCCTGAAACCATATTGTGATGAGGTAATGAGCGAGAAACGGTCACAAAAAGGAGTCATACGACGATGAATAATTTTCTCTGGGCACTTCGACAACACGGGAAGAATGGAAATTGGGCTGCAGTTTGAGTGATCGTTTTTGTCTCCACCCTTGAAAATAACTATAATTTTCATAATGTGCATTTTTTTAGGAAAGATTCCGGATGAAATTGAAATAATGAAACTATGGGTAATTATTGGTGTTGGTATGTCCAGTACATATTTAACAGGCTTGATTTGAATGTTGTCAATATCAGTACATTTGCTAGTTCGAATTGTGTTAAACATATGATAAACCTCATGTTCATCAGTGGGGGCGAGGAAAGCGCTGCTCTCATTCGGCGTTTCTAAATAACTTGGTGCATCGCAGTTTTGCGTGCCCTGTACTCGGTTTGCAAAATAATTGTTAAATGAATCAGCCATGGTATTTTTCGCGTAAGGTTGATTTTCCGACCTTCATCTCGGTGACATTGTTTAGCTGTGCTGACCGGTTCAATAATTTATTAATGCTTTTCCATGTCTATTTTGGCCTGGACATTGAGTTTTGTCAGCCGATTTCTATAGGCTTTAAAACAGCATAAATCATCAGGATCTCTGGTCTTTAAAAATTTTTCGTATACCTGCTCCTTTTCCTTATCCTTTTTAAGCATTCTCTTATTATCCAAGGTTTTTGTCAAGAACGTTTTGGCCGAATTGGCTGGTATCTAAATGCTATGTTGTATATACGCGTAAATTTTGCTAAGAAAGTATCGTATGCGTCATCAGGATTACCCAAGTTTTAAATTTTATCCCAATCTGTGGTGTTTACTAAGGACCTGAATGTTTCGAGGGTGGTTGCGTTTACATTTTGGAACGTTGGTAGATCTTCAGTCTTATTTTCTTTGTTCGGAGTGGCGTGGATTGTAAACATGTACAGTGTCAGATGGTCGCTTAGCTGTGCGTTGATAACTCCGCCAGACGTGTGGCGTGTTTCAGTGTTAGTAACGAACAAATCTATCAGTGTTGATGAGGAGCTTGTTACGCGAGTTGGTGAGGTAATAACATTCACACAACCACTAGATTCAGGTATAGATGAAAAAATCCTTTAAACAAGTTTTCCGCCAGGTGGAGTCAGTTATTTCTTAACTGGTGGATGTTGTTTCTGGAACCTTGAGCATCTTGACCTCAATGCACCAAGAATGGTCGAAATTGCTACAGAAAGGGGGGGGGGGGGGGGGGCGTTAGCGGTTTAGGCACTCCCCCTGTGTTTTCGTCCTCACCTTCATATATTTTTTTTTAAAGTTTGATCGTTTGAAGGTACAGGTCATCCTTCTCGTTTTTGACTGGGGGGACAAAGTAATCGGTCTTGGCGGCTGGTCAGCGACAGAAGCTGCTGTCCCGAGACGACGTTCCTTCTGAGCGTGCACGTGTGTCGTCCTCTCGAGTATTCATCAGCAAGTCTGCCTGCCTCATCAATTTCTAGTTCGGCTGTTAGGGATATGCAATGCCGGACTACATGTCAAGACCCCGTATCACGGCGAGGCATTTTACTTCCTCATGAGTCGAGCCTGCCGTCATACTTAAGCACGGCAGGTGCCATGTCAACAATAGGTGAGCCCCATTTGTTCCTAAATAGACCACAGCGAAATGTGATTTTCAACGAAGTCATCACAAATAGAGCTCCCCTCTGTTTATTATTTTATTACCAGCTTGCGACAGTCTTGACAAGTATCTTCGAGTGTAATTCACTTATATTTTCAAAGTATTTGTAATCTATCCAATATAGTTCGTACTAAAAAGTAACTTGAATACTACTTTAAATACACTTTCAAACGGGTACTCAGTATCTTATCTTAAATACTTTTGTTTAGTATTTAAACAAATTGCTGCCATTGCTTGATCCAGGCACAACACTGGATCAAGCAATGGCGGAGAGGCGTTGGCGCAGATTTGGAAAGGGGTATATTTATAAAGAGTCAATCAGTGCTACGTTAGGACCAGACAAATTGACAAAGAAATGTGATTTGAACGTTCCCTTCAGAAAACTAAAGGGAAATGATCAACAAATTTGTATTGATGACAATCAAGGACTGGAATAAATTACCCGATAGTGTTGTAACCGAGACTAACTCTGATATATTTGCCGAAGAACTGAGCAATTACCTGGAACATACAAACATGTCTATCTGCTAATTTTTTTCTTCTTTTTTATGTTCACAGTGCATACCGTTAAAATATTAATAATATTGTGTAATGTTGAAAGCTACTTGTATTTTGTTGTTCTTTGATTGTATTGCTGACTTCCTCTCTGTGTGTGTTAATTTATTTTAAACTATGATTATTAGTGTGTTATTGACCCCCCTTGTATAATGCCCTAACGGGCCCTCAAGGAATGATAAATGAATTAATAATAAATGAATTGGATAAATCGCATATAGGAGTTATGGTATCACGGACACTTGCGAGAGAAAAAAAAAAAAAGCACACGGGCTGCGAGAATATTTACACGTGACTTACCACAACATCGCCCTTGCAAACCCCATCTGGCACCTTCCACCAAGTGTTTCCAAAGCATTCCAATGTGCACGATTGAGGATTATAATCAATAAATGTCTGAAACCCATTTACATGATCTTATGAATAAAAATACAAGTAGAAATAACTAAATAAACAAAGTTCCATAAATCAAAATATTGTCACGAATGACAATTAATGAGGCGATAATAACTGAAGAAACTAAACGTTTAATGGAGCGAACTTGTGCCCAAAAATAAAAAAGGGAATAGAAGAAAGCATAAGCGTCGCGGGCGTCGAAGTCGGCGTGAAAGCAGAGTCGAACGCGAGGGCGAAACTGACTCCGGCTTGCCACGAGAAGCACCTTTTCTAGCCGCGTGGGTCTCTGGAACTTTCGGCCTGGAACCCTCGGCGCGTAGAACATTCGTCACTCGATCAGACAAGAAAGTTCTCGAATTTGAGAGAACGCCAAGTAGAAAGAATAAATAAAAGAACATTCCGCTGCCTGGAATCGAAGCCATATCTTCCGCAGAAGAGTCAAGCGCGATAACCACTCGGCCACGCACGCTTTTTTTTTTATTGTGTGAAAACACCCAAAGCACAACAAACACGACAAACAAGGTTAAAACACCAAGGACCCTAGCTTGGACCCGTTGGCGGCGCTAAAACTCTCTCATGCCCACTAGCTTATCCAGCAGGCCAATCCACTCAGGCGGGGTCTCAGTTTTTTCAAGAACACTCTTTACCTGAATTACAATCTCGATAAAGTATATGCGCGCCGATTTTGGTTGAACCTCTGCGTGTCGCACCGCCAAGCGGGTTCGTCATAGACTGCAGAGCCCTAGCGTCATAAACATGTCATATGGCACGTTATCCCCCTTTTCTATAGGAAGAAACCTAATTGTGAAATGGTCAACGCATAGATCTTTTTTTCAGGGTACGCTGTAAAACATCCAAAAAAAAGCGTCCCAGCAGTGCACGAACACGTGTTCGATCATCTCCGGCTGTCGGCAAAGCAGGCAGTTTACGCCCCAAGGGACGTACAACCCACGCTCCTGAAGCCAGACCTTTACTGGCAAGGTGGAGCTGTGCATCCGAAAGAAAAACATTTTGACTGCCGGCGGCACACACATTCTCTTAACACGGGCTAGTACATCTTGTCCAGGCCCTGAGATGTACTGCAAGCGGTACAGTGGCACAGGAAAAAGTACATCAAGAAGGTCTCGCGTCAGTCTTTTACGCATGACAGTCGCCAGGTACTCGTGCAAAAATCTTACATTCAAAAAAATAAAAAGAATCAACAAACTCCTTTACGAGACCAACTAGTTTTGCCGGTGGGCCAAATTTTGAAGTTATAACAAAAGACGGTAGGGCTTCTGCTAGTTGGGTCAGTATCATAACTTGCAACAGCGGGTTCTGTTGATCCCTCAGAAAAAGAAAACCAGAAACAGTTTTTCGAACAAAAAGATGGCCAAGCCCGACGCCTCCTTTGGATACACGGCGGAAAAGGTTATCACGGCACATGGGTTCACTACCCCGCAACCAAACAAACAGCACAAAAACTCTGTGCATCTTCTGGATGCAGCTCCTCGTGCACCACATGACTTGCAGAACATACCATATCTTTGCAGTTAAAAATACATTGCATACAGTCGCGCGAGTAAAAATGGTCAAATCGCGGTTACGCCAACAAGATGTCTTTTTCTTGGGTCTTCGACGACGCTCTCCGAATACGGTGTTGTGCTCTTCATGTGCTGCAAGGGCGCTCCTAGATGCTTGCATGGAATCGTGCTCCATCTTATTCCTTCAAACTGTGGTGGCGTTGTAGCCCACTCACCGTGCCATAATCCAGAGCATTTCTCTAGGTTAATTGCAGCCTCCGTTGCCGCACAGAACGCAGTGCACAGCTTTAAAACTTCCGTTACACTTTTCTTGTTAGCAAAAATAGCGCGATATCATTCACGTATGACAATACTTTCATTTCAACACAACCCATAGAAAACCCGCTCACGTTCTTGCTTTGAATGACACTTGAACAAAGTGGCTCTAAATACAACGAAAACAATAAAGGTGACAAGGGACATCCCTGCCTTACAGAGGACAACACACATATTTTAGGTGTTAAAAATTGTTTAAGACCAGTTTAGTGGCGCACCCAGTGTACGCCATACGTATCCCCTCATATAAAACTTTCCCAACATCTCCCTTTTTAGAACAGCCCAAATAACATCATGGTGAACACGATCAAATGCCTTCTGCATATCTACTTTGATCATTGCTACTTGGCCGCCTTCAATACTAACACACTAACATTGACCGCGCTACATGAATGTTTGACTGTATTGATCGGTCCCTAATCCCACATGTTTGGTGCTCCCAAACTAAATCTCGAATAACATGCTGCAGCCTACTAGTTAAAACGCGCGTGAAAATTTTATAGTCAACATTACACAATGCAATGGGTCGATACTCAGTTACACGCCTTGCCTGCACAGCATCGGGCGTCTTTGGTATTAGCACAGTATGAGTCTGTACAAAAGAAGGCGGCAAAGCTTTAAGATAATACGCTTCACGAATAACCTCTAAAAAGAAAGAGGAAAGTACATTTTTAAATTTCTTAAAAAAATATTCCGCTTAGTCCATCAGGCTCCGGTGTTTTATGAGACGACATGCGGTCAAAGGCTACTCAAGCTCTTCGAGTGTGATTGGCTTTTCCAGCTGTTCTCTTACATCATCCGATGGCTGCGGTACTCTCTCCAGTAACGCTGCGAGCTTATCTTTGTCTAAAATAACATTTACACGATGAAACAGTTGCGAGTAATAATCAGTGAAAACGCGCTCAATGAAATCTTTATCACTGCTCGTGGCTGCCTCATGGTAAAAAGCCAAGATTTCTTTACTAATTGCATGTTTCCATTCTTCCTCTCGAGCCCTCCGCGTAGGTTGCTCACCTAACAAAAACTTTTCAGCACGCGTTCGCACAATTGCTCCACGGTAGTGCTCCTGACGGAAAGAATCGAGCTTCGCCCTTAGATTCTTAATTTCTTCCTCCACTGCACCTGGGCTATTGTTTTCAATTTTGAAAAGTTCGTTTAAATACATTTGCAGTCCTTTCTCCTTGCCTCACGCCTTAAATACGAAGACCTTTCAATCGCTATTTGCTTAACCTCTTGCTTAAGGTACCCCCATTTTTCAAGGAAACATGCATCTTTCCTTGAGAATATTTTGTTCAGAATATCGCTAACACCTCTGACAAAGACGACATCCTTTAGCAATGTGTTGTTGATTTTCCAAAGCTGCCATTGAAACCTATTATTTCGCGGTTCTTAAGCGTCACGCTCACTAAACATTGGCCTGTAAAAAAAATGGGCGTCACTACATAATCTGCTGTCCTGCTGATAAACTCAGTTGAAACGTAAATGCGATCTAATCGTGACTGGGATGCCCGCTGATGATACGTTTAATGAAGCCTGCCTCGCATTGCCCTAGCGCGCGCTACATCTTCAAGACAGTGCTCTTGCAACAATTTGATCAGCATTTCTGCGCTGATATCTCGGTTTTCTCTCGTCGATGCTCTATCTTCCGGGCTGCAGACGCAATTGAAATCACCCATAAAAACGACCACCTTATCGCACTGCAAGTACGATTTTAAGAACGAAAAAAACTTATTTCATTAGCTCTGTTCGGTGCATAGACACACATAACACGCCACTCGCGATTAAATAAGATAAAATCGACAATATAAATCGGCCTCGTTCGTCCAAGACTACGCTCAAGTCTCGCAGCGGCACAGACTTTCTAAGAAACAAAATAAATATCTTGTATATTCAACCCGACTGTTTCACTAACATCACTCTGCTAAACACTCACGATACGACATTGGTTACAGAAATCGTGCCTCCTTTTAAAAAGTGAAAGCCGTTTACAAATCCCTGTAACGCCGAATTGGAGCGCAGCTCTTGAGGAGGAGGAGTGAAGGGTACTGAGGGGAGGGTAGACCCCTCCCCCTTCTCCTCCTCCTCCCCTCATTCTTTAATATGCTCCGGGGGGGGTGTCACGTGACTTCGGGGAGGGGGTCACGTGACCTCGGGGAGGCGTGACCTGGGGGTGACCTCAAGGCCACGTGACCCCAAAGGTGACCCCCACGTGACCTTGGGGTCACGTGACCTGGAGGGGTCACGTGACCTCGGGGGTCACGTGACCTCAGAGGGGTCACGTGACCTCAGAGGGGTCACGTGACCTGGGGGTCACGTGGGGTCACGTGACCTTGAGATGACCTTGGAAGGGGTCACGTGACCTTGGGGGTCACGTGACCTTGGGGAGGCGACCACGTGACCTCGGCGGTCACGTGACCTCAGAGGGGTCACGTGACTTGGGGTCACGTGACCTTCAAAGGGTCACGTGGGGTCATCTTGGGGTCACGTGACCTTGAGATGACCTTGGAAGGGGTCACGTGACCTTCAGGGGGTCACGTGGGGTCACGTGACCTTGAGATGACCTTGGGAGGGGTCACGTGACCTTGGGATGACCTTGGTTACGCCGACGCCGACGGCGACGCCGCTCAAGCCGGGAACGGGCCCCTAAGAGCTGCGCTCTAAAACATCCCGCCGGAAATATCAAGTGCATGGCTTACACACACCTCATAGTTCCTAAAAAGGGGGCGTAGCGCTTGTTCTATGTCGCTATTCGAGGACATTTTCGTTTCCTGCACAGCAAGAAAGTCTATTTGGTGGTCAGCGAGTAGGCGTTGTAGCTGGTACTGCTTTTTTCGCGAGTTCAAGCCGCGAACCGAATCGGCTCGCGAAAATCCGGCATGCTCGAGACGCAAGGCGTCAACGACGGGATCGTAACACTAGAAGCTTAATACACGTTTTCACATCAAGTCACTCACTGTGGGTTGCCTTTCCGACGGTCATCAGGCGGGATGCGAGGATTGACCTGGACAAAGATCTTTTTCCATCCAGCCTCGTGTTTCGTCGACGTGCCGGTCCCTTCTACTTCGGTGTCTTTAATGAATGGCGGTGAGTCCCTCATTCGCTTGACAACCTGGCTCATCTCGACATCGACGTTTGGCACCGGAACCGCGGGGCCTTGACTTC